ACATTCAGAGTTAGTTTTTTTTTCTTTGTAAATTGATTAAGGTATAGTGACCCACTCCTCCTATAGATGTATATAAAAAAACTCCAAAACAACCAACAACACAACTCCAAATGTTGACAAGATCCAGGAACAATAAATTATATTTTTTCCACTATTATAAAACATTAAAATATCTTTATATATTAGAAAAAAATCCTTCCAACACACTGTATCTTATTTGTATAGAGAGTTCTGTTACTGTTAAAATCACTTCAGAGATAAAGGTGTTCAATATAAATGCTGCATTTCCTTAAAAAAATAAACTGCATTTTTATTTCAAATCTAATTCAGTTGCTTGGAACAATGCTGAAAATAGAAGTCTGGGTACAGAACATACTCATCTTGTTTTCAAGTTAGAAGAGGATCTGTATTTTTGTTTTTCATAAGCTTTATCAGCACTTTTGCAAAGAAAATAATAACTGTATTCACTGAGTAAGCACAGTATCTCTGGAATTAAATATACTGTCTTACTGGCTAGGTCCCAGTTTCAACTGTGAGGTACAGTTGACACTGATACACCTAGGAGAGCAGATTCATAACATAATATTGCTCAAATATTATAGCAAATTTTTTGAAAAAAAAAAAACCTCTAGAATTATTGCTTCAGTATTTACACTAACTTACATGGATTTACAGTGTCTAAGGAAAAAGTGTTGTGTTCCTGTTCTAGAAGTCAGACAAAATTATTTGTGTTAAAGTTATACAGAACTATGTTTAAAAACTTTAACATAGACTCCAGACACAAAATTTGGCATATAAGTTGTGGCTGTCCTGGCTCCCCTGCGGAGCCAGAAAATACCTATTTGCCTTTGAAATTTCTACACTGTGTGTTTCTTACTACCCCTACTTCTGTATTTCTACCTCCCACACAGCAGTCCTGTGTGTGAACTCCTCCAATACAACGTGTGAGGCGTGGAGCTCATCAGTGAAACATCTTGCCTCCATTCTGCAAAACACTTGAGAAGAGTCTTTGGAGCTTTGCTTTATTTGAGCGCAGATATCTTGCAGATGTTTAATTTAAAGCTCATGTGTAGTCCCACTGAAGTAAATGGGATTACTAAAGTACTTAAAGTAATTCCCTGCTGAATCAGGCTTTTAAGAGTAAGAATAAATGTGCCTAATTTTTATTCATGCATCAGATATCTATAGACTAATAGTTTAAACTCAGCAGTTTTTATCCAGTTAATATAAAATGTCTAGAGTTAGTGTATCTTCACCTGCTGCATCTACTATAGCAAGGACCTTTTTAAATATAACCCTGTAGCACAGTTTTTGCATACATACATCAGGCACTCATGTTTTGCATACATATAGTGTCATCAGACCCAGTGCTATGATGATTTTTTTTGTAAATAATAAATAAACTGCACCTGGCACTTGTATTTTTTGAGTGTTACATGAATGAAAGATTTCAGGAAAGAACTCTTGTAATGTAGATTTAAAAAGTAGCGCAAGTAATTCCATTTACTTAGGATAAAAGAGAAACTCATTCATATACTTATAACTGCTTATTTCCTGCATCTACGGAGCTGTAGAATAATTTTTAACTTAATTTTGGAAACAAGGAAAGGCAACAAAATCTGTGGATCTAAGGTATTTAATATATACATGCCAAAGGCTGAATATAAGCATTACTTACACCGTGGCCAGAAGCAAATATGATGTGGCTTGAACTAAAGTTGAGACTCGTCAATGCAAAATCTGACAACAAAAAAAGAAAATCCAACCAAAAAACAACTAATAAATCCACAACCTCATCAGCAATGAGACACCTGTGGCTTCTTACATCATCAAGACCTGGCTAAGTGATTCTGAGAGTTCTCTGTGAAGCACTTCTATTCTCACATGTATTAAAATGTATCCCCTGCTGAAAATATAATAAGAGAAGGCTGGCAGTGATGAATTCATCTTGCCATCAAGCATCAGGTTCATTTAAATTGACTACCTCATTTAAATGAGTACACCTGGAAATATCAACCACATGCAAAATTACCAGTGATTTTAGCATCATCTGCAGGTCACTAAAAATCACTGACACACATGCGATAACAAAAGAAAAATAATATGATTCCATTCTGAAATTTTCACTGTTTATCTTTGGCCAACCTGATTTTGTTGGTTCAACTAATCCGGTATTAAAACCTGTAAAATTTAAATCAAGGGGATAAAACAAAGGACTAATAGGCAGATGCCTATTTAATTTTTGCAATGGTACAACATCTTCTACTGTACAGCTATAAGAACTGAAGGCAGCCCCGACCAGCTATAAGTTTGGGATACCATAAGAGACAGTACATCAACAACCTTAGGGATAAAAACTTAATCACTAAGTAATTGTACAGTAAAACATATGGGGTGCAATTACCCAAATCTTTACAACAGCAAACCCAGCTATTCACCAATACCAAGCCAAAAATAATACCCAGCTTGGCAAAGGACTTACACAACCCTGAGTATTGTCTAGGCCATCAGGTAGGGGGACAGAGCTGGTCCTTCAAAGAAACAGCTCAGATCCAGAGAGGAGCTGAGCAAATCTCCCATTCCCTCATCAGATCCACCCCTTCCACTGAGCCACAGCAGCACTGTCTGGATTTGCTAACCCATTTTCACACCCCACCTCTGCTCCCTTCCATGCTGGTCGTGTTCCAGCTGTGCACAGGGAACAGAAGTGTTGTCCAAGGCAATTCTGGCTTTACACCTCATTTCTGCACACAGCACCCAGAAACACTGTGCAAAGCAACAGAAGCCCCATAACAGACACACCCAATGCTCAGCAGCTCCAGTTCAATCGTGACAACTGCAAAAACGTTTGCTCATATAATAACATGCAGTTAAGGACAGGCAACGTCAATGATTAGTTAATTTTACACCAGTATCAGCTATTATGCATGCCGACTTCCAACAGGTAGTTCCCCACAACCATATAAACTGTTTCAATCTTCTGTAATATTGTTCAAACATGACAGGGCTTTTATCTTCTGTCAGAAGAAAGCAAACACGAAAAAAAAATAACAGAATGAAAATAGTAAACTCCTCAAAGCACATGTGTTGTCATCACTATTGTTTCCAATCTTTTTCTTGAGGAAGAAATGCAAGACATGTAGGGCATAAAACCCAGCGAACTCGAGTAATACTCAGAGAATACTGCACTGTATCTTCTTCAGCAATCCCACCCACTGCAACATTTTCAGACTTCCCCTTCATTCTCAGTGACAGCTTTTCAAAAATACCATATTGCAGCGAAGGTCTCAGTCCTTAACTTCAGCACACTTCGTAGCCTTGTCCAATGATATGTGAAAGACTTCATGTCTGTTCTACAGAAAAAACATTTTTTGTCTGGTTTTCTACACTTCAAAACTATGAAACAAAATTTTCTGGGCTCCAAGGGGCATTGAAAGCTTCTCCATCTTCTCATGAAAAGTCTTTGCAAAGACTGTGACTGTGTCTTTTTCTCTTTGTATGTATGTATCCAAATGTGTGTGCTGTCTTCTACCTCCACATGTTTAGGCAGAACTAGAAATCCTCTTACTGGCACAGAAAGAAGGCTTTGAAGCACACACTTCTTATGATGACAAGAGACAACAAGATCAGTTATGGTGCCCAACTCTCCCCTAGAAAGAGCAGAAATACTTTGGCATTAAACTGTGTAAACGTGGCATAAAATTGTACACAGAAGAGTGTGTTGTGAAGCACAAAGTTTGAAAATTTATTCAAGTTACATGGGTATGTTTAGGATGTGCAATACTTCAATTTAATTTAGGTTTAAGTCAAAACTGCTTACATTTGGGCTGAATTTCTGAACCTTAACTGTTTCAATTTCTAATGTTTTGAATTCAAATCTTCCACTTGCAATTATACTTCTGCTTTTATTCATCACTACTAACATAGCCATTGTTATTTCCAAATAATCTGTGTCCAGATAGTACCACGACCCACGATTAACAAATATAATTCATGCTTCTAACAAAATCTCCATTGAAAAGGAACGTTTTCTTTCGTTGTTTTTTCCCTGTCCTGGTATGTAACTGTGAAAGAACAAAAAGCTAGGATACCGTGACAGCAGCTTTCAATCCTTTCCCTGTTATTCTCTCTGCAGTTTCTGTGCTTACATGTTTCTCCTGTCATTTACCCTCACAATTTTTTATATGATTGTCAAATATCTGGCAAAGAAGTACTTGGCAAGATTTAGAGCTCTTCAGTTGCCTGATGACCGCGGAACTGATGGCATAATGAGAGGCTCCTAATGAAGTTCCCAGCAGCGCTGTCCCTGAAAAGCCTCGATACCACTCACGTTCTTTCTGCCCCGTATTTCTTCACCCGTGCAACTTGGTGGGCTCCACATATGATCTGGAAAAGGACATAACACAACTCGGCTGTGCTCTTCATGCACAATTTCTGCTAAAACCTCGTCTTCTAGCTCAGGGCAAGTAAGAAATTAAAAAAAAAAAAAAACAAAACAAAACCAAAACTAAGAATCACAAGTAGCACTCGGAAGCCCTCTCCTTTCGCCTACTTGTTGCAGGTGCTAGCAGGTGTAGCAGCAACCGGCTGGAGAACCCGAGGGGCGGGCAGGGCACGGATCTACCACCGACCCCTGGGCACCGCGGGGGCCCCGGCCCGGCTTGCGCGCTCCCGGCTCGCCCCGCCCCGGGCCGCGCGCGCCCCCGACCAGCGGGGGGCACCTTTTCCCGGGAGCAGAAAGCACACGGAGATCTCCCCGGGAGCGAGCGGGTCACGGTTACAGCTCCCAGGGGACGGGCACGCCCAGGCGCGCCGGCCGCGGGCGCAACCCAAGCCCGCCCGCCCCAGGGGCGCGCACCTGCCCCGCGGCAGCAGCGCGGCCACACCGGGGGCGGACCCGGGCGAGGGCGGAGGGGCGGGCGGGGAGGAGCGGGGGGCGGGCGCCGCTCGCCGCCGCGGGGCTGCGGCTGGGCTGGGCGCGGGCGGCCGGCCGGCGGAGCGCTCGCAGTCGCGGGGAGCGCCGGGGCTGTCGGTCGGGCGGCGGGTGCGAAGGGAAGGCGAGGCGAGGCGAGGCAGGCGGAGCAGGGAAGGGAGCGGAAGGCGGGCGGGAGGCGGCGGCGGCGCCGCGCTCGCCCCGCTGCCCTGGATGACGGGCGGCCGGTTCGACTTCGACGATGGCGGCACCTACTGCGGCGGCTGGGAGGACGGGAAAGCCCACGGGCACGGCATTTGCACCGGGCCCAAGGGGCAGGGCGAGTATGCCGGCTCCTGGTCCCACGGCTTCGAGGTGGCGGGCGGCTACACCTGGCCCAGCGGCAACACCTACCTGGGCTACTGGGCGCAGGGCAAGCGCCACGGGCTGGGCGTGGAGACGAAGGGCAGGTGGATGTACCGCGGCGAGTGGTCGCACGGTTTCAAGGGGCGCTACGGGGTGCGGCAGAGCCTCAGCACGCCGGCCCGCTACGAGGGCACCTGGAGCAACGGGCTGCAGGACGGATACGGCGTGGAGACCTACGGGGACGGAGGTGGGCGCCGGCGGGGGGCGCCCCGCGCGCGGCGGCGCCGGGGGGCGGGCGGGAATGGGGATGGGGGGCGCGCGCCTGCGTGGGCGCGCCGCGGGCAGGGCCCCTCCGTCAGCCCCGCGCCCTCATCGCCGCCCTCGCAGCGGGGTCGCTTCTCCTTCCCCTGCCCGCCGCCGTGCGCCTTTCCCGGCGCCGTTCGCTCCGCGCCCCCGAGGCCCCGCTGGCGGCCGCGGAGCGCCACAGGTGCCTGGCGCCCGCCCCGCCCCACTCTGTGAGGAGCCGCCTGGCCCCGGCTGCGCTCCGAGCACGCTGAGCTGTCCGGGCTCAGCGCTTTCTCCCGGCCAGCTGGTAGAAATCCGCATTACGGCCGCCTGCAGACGGCTTTCCTTTCCCCCCCCGAGGCGGCTCATGGGCTCCCTGCCCGACAGAGCGATGGCCGGGTTGTCGCGCCTGGCTCGGGGAGCGAGAGAGGCGGGCGAGCCCCGGCACCTCGCCCCCTGCGCACCTCGTTCCAGCGGGAACGGCAAGAACTTGTTAAAATAGAGCCCTTGTGTCACGCTCATGTGCGGGCAGGGGTGGCTTTGTGCGCTCGATGCGCTCGGCTTGTAAACAGGAGGCTGGAGCTAATGGAGTGGGGACGCAGCTTGCGTAAAATCAATGAAACTTGGGTATACCCTCGTATAATAACTCATGTTTTTACCGAAATACAGGATAGTTTCAAGCATCCTGCTCAAAGCACGAGGTGTGCAGTGCAGTCGCACAGCCCTACCTCTCGCACCCTTCCCCAGGACAAATGCCGTGTCCCAGGGCTGAGCTGGCGGTGGGCGTGCGGCGATCCGCCCTCCGCTCAAGTCGGGAGCGGTCAGTAAGTCAGGGTTCAGTGAGGTCACTGAGGACTCGAGCTTATTTGAGTGCTCACTTACAGTTATTCTGCCTCTGTCACTTCACGATAAATAAGCCTGATAACCCTTTAATTTAGCATTTGCTGCTGTAATGTCATTGGCCTCGGTGGAAGTGCCACCTGCAACTTCTGCGGAGTTGCTCTTCAGCTAGGAACAAGGGAGCAGGTTTGTTCTAACAGGAGTCTCAGTTTTAGGACTAGAGAGTTGCTGGGATTTTTTAACAGAAATGCTGCTTTCTTCAGTGTTCAGCTATGTATGTATAACCGGCAAGTAATAGAATTTACCGAAATCAGGTACTGTTCCCGTGATGTGACTGAAGGACCAACCCATGTATCAGCTCTCGACTGATACTTTTGCTGGTTTCTTCAAAGAATGTTGTCAGATCATCGCTGGTCGAACTTTCAGGAGAATGGGTATTTTTGTCTTAAACAGAAGATGAGATGTTTGCAGTTGAGCTCCTATTTTTTCTATTCTGAAATACAAAATGTAGCAAGTTGGTAAGATTCAGTTCCTTCAGACAATGTAATGAGCAGTGGGTTTTGTACCTTTCTGTCCCCTTGTTTAGAGATATTTGTAGCTGTCCAAAAATTATTTCCTGGCGTGGAAAGTTCTGATTTTCAAAGGCAGCTATGTTTGTGGATTAAAAAAAAAAAGACAATGCCACCAAAATCAAAGTATGAAAAAGATCAGAATTTCAATTTCACTTTCATCACACATTGCACTTTTAAATTTTTATAATATTTGTTTTTGCTAATTAACAACAGTGGTTTTTTTTTCCCCTCCCTCCCCTTCTGGAAAAGTAAATTGCCATTCCAGTTAACTTTATATTGAGAAAATAATTTCTAAAAAATTGTTTTAATCCTTTTTTTCTTTAGGCTTCCTGTGGCTTTTAAAAAAACTTAATATAGTACTGATTATTGGAGGTAAATTCTCTCAGTATCTAGACTGGGAACAACATATGAAGGATCCAGTTCACAGTGTTAGCTGGCATCTGTTGTCATGACTCCAGTCTTTTACATGTTGCAGTTCATACGAACAGAGGGTGTGAAGTCCCATTGATTTTAATGGAAGTAGTCATGAATGAAGCAGAGCAGTACGTCATAGATGTTTGCAGATGTGTTTTTGTTTTCGTGCTCTGGGAACAATAGATGTATTTGCACACCAGAACAACATCTGAAATGGAAACCAGATTTACACATGTATCTTTAGCATAATTCAAAACAGTTGCAGGAGACCTCTCTCTTCATGAATACCAGAGAATACCAGTGTAGAGAAATAACTCTTTAGACTATGCCAATTGCCATTTCATAATCCAGGCCTCTTTGCTGCTAGCTTTTTGGTTTGTTTTCTTTTTAGTATATCCCCAGTACGGTGCTTTAAAGTGTATTGATGGTATCATTGAAGGAGGGAAAAGGAACATAAGCATTGACAGTGTTCCTCAGTTTTTGCACACAACACTTTTCATGACATGACATGCTGTGTTTAGATGCTTAAAATTGTCACTCAGTCAAATCTCTGAGGAAAACACTGTGAATTATAAACTGTGATACTTCATTCATTGCATGTGATTACAGTGGGCCTTCAAGTGGCCCATCAGTGTGTCCCCTGCAGCAATCTGGATTTTTGTGCTACCTTTAAACTCCCTAGGTTTTGTTAATCTATATGAAGATGCAAAACCGACTGGAGTAGGGACTAATTTGAAGCTTCAGTATGTCTAAATTGGTTATTTATGGTCCTTCCAACAAACAGCAAAAAACAATTGCATGTTATCATTCCACAGAGGGAAATCAGGGGCAAAAGCACCCTGAGCAAAGGTCACATACGTTCATCGATTTCTGAGAGGTCTTCTTTCTGGGTCTACCCTTATTTAATATTTGAGTCAGAAAAGTATGCAAAAACCTTGATGTAACAACAAATTTTTTAAACCACAGACTATATAAGTAAAGGGTAAGGGCAAGTAGAGTAAGTTAAATGGGTCCTTGGCCTCTCTGTTTTTTTCACAGTGTAATTTTAAATTTTAGCTGCAAGTGGGCAATGACATTTACAGCTGTAAGATGCACCAAGGGTGTTTTAGGAGGTTTTGCACACTGTAGCTAAGGAAACAGATTATGAAATTATATCTTACAGCAACTTGCCAAGAAAAAGAAAAGGAAAAAAATATACTTTCTAATAGCTCTCAGGCTCAAAGTATGAACACCTTTTCAAGCAAACCAGTTAAACACCAGATGGATGGTCAGTAGTTGTGGCTGAATGTTTCTTCTGTTAAAAAGGATAGCAAAATTAACTAGTGCTAAACAATGTTACCGTTTTATGGTCAAATATAATTTTAAATTATGTTGGTAATGAGAGTGTTAATTAAAATTTTGATCATTGATCTTTAGAGCAACTGCTTTGAACAGTTAACTATAGTAAGGTGAAACAGAATATGGTGTGTTTGTTGATATATTGTTCATATTTATCTGTAGAGAAAGAAGTAAATACTGCATATGTTTTCATCATCATATATGGGAAAAGATTTTTCATCATGTCTCATATCATACACTGTTGTATTTAATTATACTGCAATACCTTGTCTTGCTTATTTAAAGATTTCTAAAGTTTATTGAATAAGGTGACACAGTTGAAGTCTGATATAGTCAGTCAAATTACTGTACAAGGCTCTTGTATTTACATTCTGGACACTGGTCTCCATAGGTTATGAAAATACTTTTAAAATGTGAGTTGAAAAATCAAGGAAAATGAGTTGACTTTTTAGCAGTAGTATCAGAAGCCTTTCCATTGATGGATTTGTAATGGTAGAAGTGATAATAGTTACCTGCTACACTGCATAACATTCAAACTAAATATCTCATACTTTTTACAGACTAAATGAGTATGAATCTTCATCTTTTTTACTATTTTCTCTTTAGAAGAAGCTGGCATTGATTTTATTTCCTCTCTAGAAAGGAAAGTTGGACTAGTGCATAGCAGTCCATTAATTGTTCTTATTTTAATGCCCTTATGGGCATCAGCAACCACTTCTCTTGTTTCTATAGTAGTGAAAAATACAAGTCCTAAATTAATTAATTATTTTTGAGCTTTCCATTAAACATGTGTTTATTAATTAAAATATTAGTAAGAAAAGACGGCTGACTTTTTCACTTCTTTAAAATTCTGTACTGAAATAAGGTCATTGTGCTGAAGTCTAACATTGTAAGTGGCATTATTTCAAAATTAAATTAACTAGTGCAGAATATTAAAGGTGTTATAATATGTAGTAGTAAGAGTATGTAGCCAGATTCTTAGTTCCAGCATATCATTACATATCCCAGAAATAATTACAGACAAAATGAAGTAATTCATCCTAACAAAATACTAATGTATTTCCGGGAATTTTCTCTTTAATAAAACAAGCAAAAAAATTAGAATGTGGCTGCTTATTTGCCGTATTTACAGAACATGTCATACCAGTGCTTTGTGCTCATGTTTCTATTTGTTCTTCCCCATATGCTGAGTTTTTTAAAATAATCATGTTCCTAGATTCAGCACCCTTGCAACCAGTACAGCAGTAGGTATCCAGGATACAGAGAATGAGAAAGAAACTAAGAAAGTTGTTTGTTTGTGTCAGCAGCCATCTGTTAAAACAAAACCTTCTACTTGGTAGAATTTTCTACCGACACAAAACAGTTAACGTTTTAGAACCTATCCAGTATTATATAATAAAGAAAACAGACTTAGCAAATTTAATTGTGTCTTAATTGTGTCTTAACACTGAAGAGGTAAAGAGTAAGGTAGTACTTGATAAGTAGTGGACAAGTACACAACCAAAACAGTACGTTTATATGGAAGAGATGGAATCTCAAAGCAAATGAATCTTGGAGCTACATCTTCAACTGCAGATACTTTGCAAATATTTTCACAAAAATTGTATCGGCCACTGAATTTGACGTTTGATATTTAGTTCTCTGAATATTTAATTGATGTTCCAACTGAAGTAGATGAAAATTTAAAAGAAAAAAAAGATTGCTTATTCATCTGTCTGTAAAAATATTCAAAGTAGCTTTATAAAAAAACCCAAAAAAACAGCACTAGTTGGGTGAGTGACTTCATTTTGAGGAGCTTAATTAGTTTAATGGAAATTAGAGTGAAATTACATCAGGAAACAAGTAGTCTAATATTTGCTAGTTACGGCATTCATGCCACCTTCCTTTGGAGCCTCTGGTAGAAATGGCCTTCAGAGATCAGACATTGGCAAGTATCAAAATGAAAATGCCTTTTGAGAATACAGGAAGAAAATTGCTGTGCTAATCTGATAAAGGTGGGGTTTGGCTCCAGTGCAGCTTTGCATGGACATCAATGACTTTTCATGTCATATACCATACTCTCGCCTTACATTGCTGTTAAAATTTTTTACAAGAGTAGTTACGATTAAATATTTGCTAGAATGTTGTGCAATACTGTGTTACTGCCTTGCCTTTCTTATGTGCTGCAGAACAAATGAAAGGCAAAAAAAGGGCTAAAGAATTCATGCTTTTGATCCCTCTGATAATACAGAATGCAGTGTGTTTTTATGTACTGGGGATATCAGAAAGTGTTGGTATGAAGAGTTTGTAAAGAGAAAGGAATCTTGTTTTGTTCTTTCATTCAAATCTGCACAAAAATTTTAAAATATTTAATTTTAAGGTAGAGGTTTATGACAGTGGATCCAAAAGCCCATCTGAAGACAATCTAGTGCATTGTCAAATAGCTCCTGACAAGGAGGTCTGGAGTCACCTTAAACCCACAATCACAGAATGCTTACTTCTCCTACTTGCTTTTTCTGTGAGCAGCTGGGCACAAGAGCTGTAAGTGTCCTGCTTTCTCCCTTCTCTCCAACCCTCTCTCCCTCCTCAGCTGACCTTATATAATGTGTCACTGTTTCTGCTGGCCGCCTTCCTGTCAGTCCACCTTAAAAAAATGTTGAGGGAGTCCTGCTTTAGAAATTTCTCTCAGATTTTTTTTGCCTAGGCAAACCCATTTAAAAAATGCTTATGATTATAGTTACTGTGTCTTAGTTGCCAAAATAAATCATCTGTGGAAGTGATGGATTTGCTAAGTGGAAAAGTAATTTGTAAGAAAAACAAGTAACAAAAGTAGTTTGTCTATCTGTGTCATGTGCTTCTCCTCTTACCAGAATCAGAGTTGACAATGTAATGTTGCCTGTAGCGTTTTGGATGGAGAGGGCTAGGTCTTCTACAGCTTCCTAAATTTAACTTCTTATTACTTTAAAAGGTACCTACCAGGGGCAGTGGACAGGAGGGATGAGACATGGATACGGTGTACGTCAGAGCGTACCCTATGGCATGGCCACTGTGATCCGTTCACCTCTCCGAACATCTCTGGCGTCACTTCGAAGTGAGCAGAGCAATGGCACTGTTCTGCACGACGTCACTTCAGACAGTCCGGCTGGCACAAGAGGAGGATTTGTGCTCAATTTTCACAGTGATCCAGAAGCCATGGGCATTAAGAAAAAAGGAGGCTTATTCAGAAGAGGATCCCTTCTTGGTAGTATAAAACTTAGAAAATCGGAATCTAGGTCATCGATATCTAGCAAACGGAGCTCTGTCAGGAGCGATGCTGCTATGAGCAGAATTAGCTCTAGTGACGCCAACTCTACGATTAGTTTTGGAGATGGTGACTGTGATTATAGCCCTCTGGAAGACCATGTTGATGCTACCACTACAGAAGCCTACATGGGTGAATGGAAGAATGACAAGCGCAGCGGTTTTGGTATCAGTGAGCGTTCAAATGGTATGAAATACGAAGGAGAGTGGCTGAATAACAGGAGGCATGGATATGGATGTACCATGTTTCCAGATGGCACCAAAGAAGAGGGAAAGTATAAAAATAACATTTTGGTCCGTGGAATAAGAAAGCAACTTATACCAATACGAAACACAAAAACTAGAGAAAAGGTGGATAGAGCAATAGAGGGTGCACAGCGAGCAGCTGCCATGGCAAGAACCAAAGTGGAAATTGCAACCTCAAGGTAAGTTATCAAATGGAAGGGTTATGTAAGCCTTTGTGCTAGTGACCACTTGCTTTCAGTTTCATATATGTAGGTCCATTGGCTATAGTGGCATTATGCATGTGAAACTTACAACTTCAACTCATTTGGGTGAAGTGTTTGTTCAATAGTATACTACATAAGTACATTTCCATTCGTGATACATTTCTGCTTACTCTCAAGAGCTGCTACATTATACCTTTAAACTTGTTCAGAAAATAAAACTGGTGAGGAAAGAAGTGAATGATTTGGGGATATGAGGTACAGCTTAAATATTTTCCTATAAGCATGCTCCGGTTGTGCTTATTGTAATGCCTTTTTTTAATTTTGGTAGCATCTGAATCTCACTGAAGTTACCCATTTGACAATAGGCATATTAAGATGCATCTTTTTTTTCTGAGAAACTGTGGTATGAACAGAAGAATAATGATTGAGGATGTTGTGCTTAGAGGCTGTTGATTCGGTTGCTAGGGCAGTTTCTGTCAAAAGAGTTTTGTATGAGGACTCTTCCATTTTGGAGCATGCTTCTCCTCAACTCATCTGATTATATGACTACCACATCAAACAGTGGTGGTCAGCTTCTCCCTGTGCCTCTGCCAGGTGTTTGAGATGGGAGAATTGTATGGGTATTGGTAGTGGAGAAAAATGTCATTTTCACTTCGAACTCCTAACCACACCAAGCAAAGTTGCTTGAAATGGAATTGTTACAAATTGAATCAATATAGACAATTTTAATTGGTTTTAGTGTTAAGTTTGAGAGCTCTTTAAAAAGCTTCTGAATTTTTATTGCCTCCAATAAGTTTCTGTGGCTGGTTTTCTACTGATGGCTTTAGTTTGTTTCCTCACGCAGGCTTTTCTTGAAATATGCTTTGAATAAAAAAAAAGAGTCCAGAATGTGCGTGAAAGAAAATCTACATGCTATTTTAGAAAGAGGATGTCACATTACTCTTAGAGCTGAACAACTGATTCCTAATTTAGTGTGGTCACTAGTGTGTCCCCAGTGACTACCCTTTTCCTGACAGCCATAAGAAAAGAAATACAGAAAATACCAAAAACTGCCTAAGTGGGAGAGTTTGAATATATAAAATGCTCATAGAAAGAAGTAGCTGAGACACTAAGATGAAGAATGTAGTTAAAGGACCTCTCTGAGAACTGGTCACGTAAGTAATAAAGGGTAGCATATACTCGGTTACTTCTATAAATACATGTAAGGCATTATATGACAGCATACCATACTAGTAAAGCAGATCAGTAATACCTTACTTTAAGAAAGTATTGGATCCCATTCATGTTCTGTCAGTACGTAATAAGCCCTAGATTTTAGAAAAATGGTGTGGTGGGATGTATGGAAAGGGAGAGTCACCACTTTGAGTCCATATAAAGCTATTAAAAAGCTGTCATCTGAGACCATTATGTTCCAAGGCATGGTGTATGCACTTCCTCTTCAAGAAATGTCTCTGAAGTGTTTTGTTTGCTTTTCTTTCCCTTTGATTTTTAGATGGAGGGCAGAGTTCAAATTGCTTCTTTTGGAACAATTCATCAAAACAATGTTTATTTCTTGAAAATACATTTTTGAAAGTGCAGCAGGACTCAGTTGTAGTGCAGCTGTGACCAGCGGCAATCTCTCCCTTTGGTTTCTCAGCTAAAAATCTCTATGCAACCATCTCATGACTACCAGGATAGACAGCAAGATCACAGATTCAGGTTTTCTCTCTTTAGTAGCCACTGCACCAACTGTACTGGCACTGATTCAAAGGCCAAGAGACCTGACACCAACGGGCAACATCAGGCATGAAGACAATATTAAGTTCACTTCTGAGGGCATGTTGGACTCCACTAGTAAGAAAGGAAAGAGCTTTCCTCTGTCTCAAGTTTTCAGAGTTGTTTTGAGTATCAACCAATAGGAGCAAGGCCATGGGCACTGGTGAGCTAAGGAACTGTCATACTGGCAGGGTCAGTAGCCAGATCATCTGGAATAGATTCTAGAGCAGCATTGAGGGGAAAAAAAACTTATATTTCAAATAGTTGTTAAAATCTGGTTGACCAGATTGGTATAGTTTCAAGATGAATGTACTTCTGTCTCACTGAAACCTGACAACCTGTATTGGTTTGTGACTGTTTTTTTTTTACCAAAGTGATATATTAATAATGTAATAATTCTTTAGACAGTAGCATTCTTGCAATGTCTTCCTAGATGAATATGAGGATGGTGGTCTTGTTTGTTTGCTGACAATTAATACTGCACAAAAATGTCTAGAAGTGCCTTCTATAATTTCTAATGTATAATAGTGTATAAGGTGGTTCTGCCCATATGGCATAACCTCACTGCAGAGTGACCTTCTGTGCTTCAGACTGGACAGATGTCACTAGCACTCTGTGCTTGTTGTAGATTTCCACTTCATTTCTTGAAGAACTCACTAGATACACCTTTTCTCACCCCAAAAACCACCAAATCAAAGACCTAGAAATTCTTACTCTCACCCAGATATCTTTCTTTTCAATGCCGCTTGGAGTTGTATGCTATTCTTTTTGCATTGTTTATTCCCAAAATGCTTGTTCAGCCAAATGGAAACAGTTCATAGCTCCCTGCTGGTCATGACAGGTTTGGCTGATAGTTTGACCTGTGGCAGATGTCCACACAATCTTCTACATGACCAACCACTATTTTGCTTCATATTCCTGATGTCTTTTTATGTCTAAAAGTCCTCTTTAGTAATCTGTGTAATCTTCCTTTGTCTAAAGTGACGGTTTTGTACACACAGAAAAAAACAGAAGTTGGGATAAGTAGTGCGTCTCTGAACCTGAATTTACATTGGCTCTCCTGACAGCTTTTGGGATTTTGAGGCATTTGTACTGAGGTGTTTTGAAAATCACAGCAGTATTTCTCAAAAGATAGCAGATTGCAACATCGTTATATGTAAAAAGCTGCTGTATCAGGGAAATAATTACTAGCTTCTGCTACACAGATGTGTACTCAAAACAGTTTAGAAATTAGCAATTAATAAAAATTCTTTTCAAATTATAGTGCAGCTTAATAGATTTGATTGTATATTAGTTTTACTAGCTGTATTTAAGGAAGAAATATTTTGGCATAAATATAAAAATCCCAGAGTTTGAGAAAATTCAAAAGTGTGTTCAATACTTTCCCTTTTCAAAACTTTATAAGGTGCCTTTTTAAAAATACCATTATTATGGGGACTAATTAATTCAAATTAATCTTTAATGCATTGTGCTAAAAGCAGTCAGGTTTATATGCCTTATTTGGGGTCCTCCTGTCTAAGAGGAGAAGCTGCTTTCCAGAAATATTTGATTCTTTTCTATATATGTAAAGTGCTTTAAATGCTAGAAGATGTACATTTGGAAGAGCCTTTTGGAAGGTATTAAAAAGCCCCGAGTGTTGACTCAGCCAAGAGTCAAGTGGAAACTCATTTTGAGGATATCATGTAATTCTCACTGTAGGGATTTTAAACTTCCTTTTCATCACTGTCATAAGTCTCATTCAAAGGAGATCTCCCTCTGTAGTTCAATATAAACTGGAATTACATTAGAGCACTTCTATCCTAGTATGAAAATTACTTAAGTTCTCATACTGTATTACATTAACTTTGCCTTCATCAATACTTATGTGCAGTATAAAACTGTAATGTTTCTGGAATTCATTTTCTGAGTTTGAACATAAACTTACCTTGTAGTACTCAGTGTCACTAGGTGTTTTTAAAATGCATCAGTCCTATAAGTAATTATGAAGCAGTGGAAGCAGAAGGAGTGTTTGTTTGCTAACAACCCTTCATGTTCCATATTCTTTCAGAAAAGTCAGTTGTATGCATTTAGACTTGAGCATTCAGAGGCCTTTTTCTTCCTTTTCTCCCTTCAAATATCTTCTCGCTAATTCTCTCCTTAAAATGTCTTCTCCTTTAAGTGTCGACTCTCTGAAGGAAAACAAGCTTTGCAAGGACACAGAGGGACATGATAAAAATACAGTAAGTGTAAGAAATATGAACTAGAAAACAGTGTATGAAGGAAAAACCAGAAAGAAATCAAAAGAGAAAAATATCTCCTTGTTGATACTTTCCTTGCATTTCATTGATCTTTCAGGTCATAAAACAAGCAGATTAAAGAATTTAAACTTCTGTTCTCTTTTTCCTAGAAGCTTAATACTTTTAATTAGTTAGAAGTTTTGAGTAAGTTTTAAGTGAAGTGTCATAATATGACATGTCATAATATGCCATGAGAATTTGTGACCACCTTAAAAGCAGTATTGTGATGGGCTCTCATTACAGGAGCACCTGAGATTTGGTGAAGCAGAATGGCTCCTTTGTGTTAGGCAGTGCACAAACAAATTATGCTGTCTGGAGACCTTGCAGTCTGGGAAAATAGCAGTGCCCAACAGATGAAAAGAAGCTGGCAAAAGACTGGATCGGAGAACAAGATAACAGTAAAATCAATATCTTGCTACTAATAATATGGAGCAGTTCCTCCTTCTTAATTAGCTGTCTGTGCTCAGACAGCAGTGACTAGCAAGCCTCTAGTCAGGAAGACCTTTTAAGTGGCACTGAAGGGGGATTAACTGGCTTCTTCTACAGTGATTTCTTTTTCAGAGCAGCTTTTTTAGACAGCTCAATTTTATTTTTAACATGTTTGTGTCTAAGTCCACAGATGCTAGAGCTAAATTTCAGCTTTGTTTTTTAATAGAAACTAGTGAAACTCTAGTTGTGATCCTGTCTCACAAGCAGGCTGCTTTGTTCTGCGTGGCTGTGAGGGAGTCTTGAGTTGTTAGAAGTGGATGCAGGAGGAGGGTGCAGCAGGATTTGGACTTCGTAGTGGAGACTCAGAAAAACAATTTTGTCTGGGAGTGAACCCACCTTCACAGCATGGACTTTCTTGGGTCCCTGCTCTCCCTTGCAGTCATCGTGGTCTGGATCCAGTAGCTGACTGGTGTAATGTTCAGTGCTGAGGATGAGAACTCCAGTTTACCCAGAGTT